ATTCATTCTTTTCATCTTGCCTTGGATAAGGCAAGCGAGCAAAATGCTGTGGCTTTTCTTTGTACTGCCATCTTCTTGAGCTATTAGGTAGTGCTCGCATACTGCTAGAATACAAAAAAATTGGTGGAGTATAAAAATTATGCATTCCTTGGTGTAGTATTTAATAGCTTTAAATACACAAAATTGAGGTATGTTAGGGAGAGCCCATCATTATTTTGAAGAAATAAGCTTCAAAAGAGAGTGAAAAAGAGAAATGATCTCCTTAGAAAAATTGGAAAATATGAAAGCCAAGAAAAACAACCACCCCACAACAAAAACCTATCACCCATAGATAACCAAAGTTAATATTTTGATGTGTATCTCTGGATTTATAGCTATGCAAATACAAGTGTATAGATCAGTGTATATGTGTATAGATAAAGAAAGCTAATATTGATTTACTATGAGCATTTACTATGCTTCAATCACTGCACTAACTGCTTTACATCCATTTTTTCACTTAATCCTCACAAAACCCCTATGAGGCAGGGTTTGGTAATGTATCAGTGGTTGCCAGCCGGTGGTCGGCGGACCACTGGTGGTCCGTGAGGTCCAAAAGGTTGGCGACCGCTGGTATAGATGACAATGAAGACTGCAAGAGGCTCAGTAACTTGCTCAAGGTCACAGCTTCTAAGTAGTGATTACAAGGATAAACACATACTCACCTACTTAAAACACAGGCTCATGGTCCAAATATAGGCATATGCACCCATACATACATATACAGGCACAACTTTGTACACACAAGTGCAATTTTACTGATTATACTTTACACACACTTTGTACATATGTACACATGTATGTGTTTATATACCCATATGCACATGTGTGTATCATGTTCAAAGACACATGTGCATTAGCAAATTTGCATGTGCATTAGCAAATTTGCATGTATATTCATGTACATGTACACATGCACATGCATGCAAAGGCACGCAATATAGCTATATAATAAGATGAGTTCACATTTTTATGTGTGTATAGCATGTAATTGTATGGCTGCACCATAATTTAACCAGTTGCTCATTGTTGGTCACTAAGGATGTTTAAATTTTTCATTCATTGAAGTTTCTTTTATGTGCATCTTCATCTATTTCCTTGGTATAAGTTTCTAGATGTGGAAATGTTTGGTCAGAGAATATGCATATTTAAAAGACTTCTGAATTATAGAATGTTGGTGAATTATCCAGGCAACTTGATATGAGCATGATACTCTTTGGTTGCTACAAAAGGCCATTCTGACTTCTGTTTGATCTGTTTAATCAAATTGAGCTTGTCTTCTATTGAAGTAAATGTAATGAAAACCATGTGATTATTTCATAAATGCAAACACAATTTTGCCTTTAAAGGTCATGCAGTATATGCACAACGTGAATTTAGCATCATGACAGACTATCCAGAAAGACTGGGCTCATAGCTTCCTAGCAGCTTTATCCCTCTCTGCCTTTTTTTGCATTTTAAAACTGAGATTGTGTGTCCAAACATTCTGAAGCACTGTTTGAGAAAGGTCTAGGGTAGGACAATTGTTGAGATAACCTGTTAAGTATTGCATTTATTCCTGTTAATCCATTCCAAGCCCTCTTTGCGTCACTGGAATAGAGCTTTGCCTATATCATGAATTTTGCCAAATGCTTTCTAAAATATTTTGAGATATAAAATTTACAATTTTAACCATTTTTAAGGGTATAGTCTGTTTAGTAGCATTAAATACATTCACATTGTTGGGCAACCATAACCATCATCCATTTCCAGAACTTTTTCATCTTTCCCAACTGAAACTCCATACACATTAAATATTAACTCCCCATTTCTTTCTCCAACCCCTGACAGCCATCATTCTATTTTCTGTCTATGAATTTATTACTCTGAGTACCTCATGTATAAGTATTTGTCCTTTTGTGACTGCTTATTTCATTTAGCATAATGTTCTCAAGGTTGATCCATATTGTCACCTATATCAGAATTTCCTTCTGTTTTAAGGCTGAATAATATTCTGTTGTATGTATATGTCATATTTTGTTTATCCATTCTTCCACAGATGGACACTGGGGGGCTTTCACCTTTTGATCATTGTAAACAATGCTGCTGTGAATATGGGCATACAGTTAGTTATCTCTTGAGTGCCTGCTTTAAAGTCTTTTGGATATATACTCAGAAGTGGAATTGCTGGTTCATATGCTATTAATTTTTTGAGAGCCTGCTATACTGTTTTCCATAGCAGTGCACCACCTCATTCATTCATTCATTTATTTATTTATTTATTTATTTAAATCCTCACCAGAGAGGATATTTTTTTAGTTGATTTCTAGAGAGTAGAAGGGAGGAAGAAGGGGAAGGGAGGGAGGCTGGCAGGGAGGGAGGGTGAGAGGGAGGGAGAAGAGAAACATCCATGTGAGAGAGACTAGTACATCGATTGATTGCCTCCTACACGTGCCCCCACCAGGGCTGGGGAAACTGCAACCTGGGCCCTTGACTGGGAATCCACCTGTGACACTTTGGTCTGAGGGATGACGCTCTAACCACTGAGCAACCAGCCAGGGCAGCTGTGCACCAAGCGAGTGTAGTACATCCTGTTGTTAAGTTAACCTGACTTTCTGAATAGCACAATTTATGTTAAAAATTCTAAATACTAGCTCTAAATACTGATAGACTTTAAGAATGTTTCTAGTGGAATATTTCCTTACTGATTAAAGAAGTTCCTTTCACATGCATATTTGTGTATATACCACCCCCCAGCAATTTAGTATAATCTTTGACAGCTTTTCTTT